TTAAATAATTTTAAAATATATTTTTATATTAAAAATAATTTTAACATATATCAAAATAAATAATTATGACTATATTTAGTATAAAAATAAAATAAAATAAATTATTTAATATATACCTAAAAATATTTCTAATATTTTTAAGATACAGATATTTATAGATATTAGTATTTTATTATTTATGTTTTTTCTATTATTAAATGAGTATTTATTTAAAATTTATAATAAATTTTATCTATAAATATCTGCGTTTTTTTAATTTTGTCATCCTGTGTAGACGGTGACGAATAATCGACCACCAATTTCAACAGAAGTTGCGACAGTTTGTCCTACTTCTACCTTTAAAATAAAACGCCAAAAAAGAGAATGAAATACTGATACAATGATCCTCATAAAATATCAACTTCATGGGACAGCATAAAATTACCTGAAAATGAAATTGAAGAACCAACTCTAATATTAAATTTTACAACGAAAAATATAAATGTGACATTAAGCTACATGACACATACAATTTGTTTGTTTGCCTTGAAATTTGTACCAAGTGTACATATGCTAGAATAATGACATTAACTAGGTAGTCGGTTTTTTTAAAGTGGAGAAAGTGTTGTTGCAACTTGCAAGCTAAAGACCTAATTTTGAATTGACTGTGTATATTATCTTATATGAATAATCATATTCTAAACTCAATTACTAATAGAATCAACTAATTTATAGGTTAATTAAAAAAATTAGTTAGCATGGTTCAATTTTATTAATCTTAATAAAAAAATATTTTTTAAATTATTTTATATTAAAACTTAATATTAAAAATAAAAATAGTCACTTTAAAATAAAATTTTCAATTAAATGAGAATATTTTAAATATTTTAAACAAATAGTATAATTAAAAAAATGAAGAGTATTTTAAAGAGGATGGTATAAAAATAGGTAAAATTTGTTTATATTTAAATCTATTATTCATTATTTTAATTTATTTTTTTTATTTTTACTTAAGAAATTATTTAACTTACATGATACTTGCTAGTTAAATATAACTAGAAATAAAGAAAAAAAAATCAAATAAATTAATTGTAACGTCTGGTAGCTAGTCTATTGGATATTTAATTATGATGCACCATTTGAATTCAGTATTTATTTGTGGAAAACTTTTTTTTAATACTCTTATTTTATAACAACATTACCTTACATCATAGTATGATCGTGTTAAAAAAGTTAGCTGAAATCATTATTTTTAGTAGAAAACATGTATTCTTCATTAAAGATTTATAGGTCATATTATTCAAATATTACTCTATTCAAGTAAGATCATGTTAAGTATTCACAAATATTTAAAATTTAAATTTAAAAGTTATGAGTTAAATTGAAACAATTTCATATTTATTAATTTACATTTTTTTTAAGATCGGTCATAATTAGAAAATAAGAAATCTATATATACATGAAGTGAAACTTGCGTAAATAAATATTTATTTTTAATTTTTTTACACCAATATTTAGTTTTAATATCCATTGGCAAATTTTAATAAATTAGTTTTGTAAATAAAGTTTTAGCATAAAAAAATTAGATGCGATGGCAGCTTGATTTTTGCTTAAATATGTCAACTGAATTTGAAATCTTGACTCTAGAGTACCTATTTGATAAATTACATGAATAATTCTTATTTAATATAGTACATATTTTACTATAAAATTAGTAGCCAAAATTAATTTATATATCTTAATCCTATTAAATAATTTAAAATTAAATTTAGTAAATTATTTTCTTAAATTCTAAAACAAAAACAAGGTCATATAGATACAATTAGTGTAACGACCCAGCTGGTCACTACACTCTGCACAGCACACTAGAAACACCACACAGAAAGGAACAAGTGTATACATATAGGGTCTAAAATATATACATATACAAGGTCCAAGTCTGGATAGAGTTAAAGTGTACAAAATACATCAAATGCTACTACACCAAGCAGCTAAAACAACAAAACATCCTAATATATCAGCTCCGTCTGCCAGCTGCAGACTCACCACCAGCCACCAACTATCCCTACTCTGCTCCCATACATAGTATGATCATCGCAGTCCAAACACCATGGAAACAACAAATGGTAAGCTAGTGAAAACAAATCAACATACATATATAACAATATGAATGGTAAACAGCTACAGCTATCAGTGCAACAACCAGCTTATACTACACCACAGCATTCAGCAATATCAGCACCGCAAAGCGGCAATATCAGCACTACATAGCAGCAATAACAGCACCACTCTAGTGGCTATAACAGCACCACATAGCGACAATAACAGCACCACATAGCGACAATAACAGCACCGACTTAGCGGCTATAACAGCACCACAATAGTGGCTATAACAGCACTGACTTAGCGGCTATAACAGCACCACAATAGTGACTATAACAAACATACAGTTCAGCAATATACAACACAATCAATCAGCATACAACACAGCTAAGTAGTATTCAACACAACTTACTACTCACAACTCAGCTCAACATTCTATACTACAGTAATATTATAATTCAGCATGTAAAATCATTAATCACAGCCCAGCTCGGCACGGCAATATACATCTATTATTCAGCATTATCATCTAGTCAGCACAACATATTCATCAATTTCAGCTTAGTTCGACATAAACATCATCTATCAACAATTTCAGCATATAATTTCACCTCATTATACGCGCCCGGCGCACTCATGGTCGCGCCCCGCGTGGTACAACCAGAGAGCACCAGGGGCCAGCGCACCCGGTGCAAGAGTGCCCGCGCCCGGCGTGACCCAGCCAGAGAGCCCAAGGCTCTTACGCGCCTGGCGCAATACAAAATTGCGCCCAGCGCATGTCCAGGTAGAGATCCTAAGGAGTCTCGCGTGCCCGGCGTGCCCTAACCCGCGCCCAGCGCGGGGAAGGCAGAGACCTGCCAAGGTCTCGCGCCCAGCGCAATTTAAATTGCGCCTGGCACCCCCATGGCAGAGACTCCCAAGGAGTCCCCGCGCCCAGCGCGAAGAGGGTCGAGCTCAGCGTGGAGCCAGAACCCCAAAACATGTCACATACTGCCAACGCGCTCGGCACGTTCCATGTCACGCCCGGCGTGGGCCATCTAGAGGCTCACCTTCTCAAGCTCACCCGGCGCACACATCTTTGCGCCCGACGGGCATGCCTAAAAGGAGCCTCCAGATGGTCTCGCGCCCGGCGCGAAGAACGGCGCTCAGCGCGAGGCTAGCAACAACCCACCAAGTTCGAAAATTTTCCCAAAACCTGCAAAAATCCACTCATCCAGCACATGCAAATCAGCCAAAAGTTCACATTTTCATCAAGCATCAAGAAAAACACCTCATTTCCAACATGCAACTTCAAATCAAAGAAAAACCCCAAATTTCTTCAAAACCAAAACCCCGAAAACCCCAAAAATTCCATTTTCAGCAATCTCAACTAAAAACCATCAAACATCAACCAACAAATGAGTCTAGAACTCATTTACAACCAAAATCAGCAAGAATTAGCTTCCCTTACCTCGGTAGAAGATTCCGAGCTCCGGGAAAAAGAGAATGAAGAAGGAGGAGCTTGATCGGAGAACAACAGAGAAATGAGACGAAGAAGAAGAACTTCCACTAGCTTCGAATGCCACTAATCAACACCTAAGTTAGCCACAACCACCACAAAGAAGAAATGAGCAAGTGAGGAAAAATGAGGAAGAAGAGAGTGGGAAAAGAGAGTTGAAAGGGAGAGAGGAGGGATACGGTTCTTACAA